AAAACAAAACAAAACAAAACAAAACAAAACAAAACAAAACAAAACAAAACAAAACAAGAGTGAAACATTAAGTGATATCTTCTGGGAAGCATTTTCTCAGGATCAACACACACAGGCTGAGTTCCAGAGGTGGCCATGTCTGTACATTTTGTAGGCAGCCAAACTTGGTATTGTGTCACCCGGGCGGTACTGATTCTGAAGGCATGAAGGAGTTGTGGAGAACAGCTGAGATATGGCACTATGAGGGGTCAGGAGAGGCCACTGGTGAAGGTGAAGCATCTGTAGCAGTTCAAGCCTCAGGACTGAAGGAGTCATGCATAGGCTGAGGTTCAGCACCATGAAAAGAACCAGGAAAGGCTACTAGTGAAGTGCAGCCCAGTGGACTGCAACATTTTGGAGATGCCAGTATCAAGAGAGGACTGGCAAGGAGAGCAGCAGCTCTCAAGTAGAGGCAGTCTATGTGATATACCCATATCACATAGCAGCACTCTGGAGTCCCAAACCTGACCCTGAGTTTTGCAGTGCTGAACTCAGTCTATGTGATATACCCATATCACATAGCAGCACTCTGGAGTCCCAAACCTGACCCTGAGTTCTGCAGTGCTGAACTTTGGTTTGATTCTGATCAGACTATGACTGTGCTCTGGTTTTTCCTTGATAGAGTAAGAAAGTATTTAATTTATTTTGATTTTATAGGAGCTCACAGTTGAGAGATTGGATTTTTAGAGTTTTGAGGGTTTTCCAGAGACCTGAGATTTTAAAAGAGAAGTTGGAGGTTGTTTTACTTATGTATTTATTTTAAACAGAATTTTTAAAGGGTTTAGATTGGTAAAGACTGTGGAATTTTTAGCCTGTAATGTGTTCGGTATTTTGATATTTATTAAACTGAGATAGAAGGAAAAGAACTGAATCCTGCAAACTGTCCTTCAACCTCCATATGTACAATGTAGCATGCCCTTGTGTGGCTTATCCCATACCCATACACATAAATAAATAGTAATAAAAGCCCATGGATCTGTGATCATTTCCACCCACTTTTCTTGTCTGTAGTCTGGAAGCTCATCCAAAGTTTACACTTTTTTTTTTTTGATGTTGTAGCAAAATACAAATTCCTATGGAAACTAGATATAATAAAGGAAAGGGAGAAAGTTTGTGCTACTAGTCCCTTACCCCAATTGCTTTAGAAATAGCTAAATATAAAACTCCAAAGACAAGTCATTTGTGGAAGCAATTTTTTAAGAAATATGAATCACAACTACTTTGGCATTATTTCCAAACATGAAAGAAATGTCAGAGACATTAAAAGTAAAAGCACTTGAATTTTATCACCTTTATTAGTCAATATCTATTTAAAATAAAACAAGTAAAATAAAAAATATAATTTATAGTGCATGCATGTGATTTTTTCATAAGCATGTATATATTTCTATATATTCATTATCTACTTTACATTTGAATCAAATGCTGTAAATTAAACATTCTGTGGATAACCAATACATACCAGGCTTTTCCCATTCTATTTCAAGACAATGGACTCCATTCCTGATTCGGGGTTTAACAATTCTGAAAAACATTCATATACCAAGATCTAAATATACAAATTATTTGTAAAATTTTAGGTTAAACACTTCAATTTCCATCAATATTTGAGGTAAAAATATATGGAATTATTCTCTACATATTCTTTGGAATTAACTAATTTCATCGTGAGGTAGAGTTGAAAATTGTTCCATTTACTCAAATTGTGTGTGTGTGTGTGTGTAGGTTTTCATTATATTTATTCATTTTATTTTAGGTTCGAGTGTTTAGTCTGCCTGTATGAAGGTGCATATGTACCAGCTGCATGCCTGGTGCCCAAGCAGGTCAGAAGAGGGACTCAGATGCCCTGGAACTGGACTGACAGGTGGCTATGAACCACCATGTAGGTTCTGGGAATTGAACTCAGGTCCTCTGCAAGGACAACAAGTGCTCTTAATATATTTTCACTTTTATGGAGTATTTCTTTGTCAATGATTTGTTTTAATGTCTACTTTGTTATATTATTTTGGCATTTGCCTACTAAATTGTAAGTCTTAAATCTCTGTATATATGTATTTTATATTTTTAATGAAAATTTTAATCACTACTTATCCAATGCAATCTGCATTTTTATTGTGACTAGTGAGAGCTGGACTCATTCATAAATCTTTTTTCTGTTAGCAGTTTATTTCTTTGCTACTCACTTCCTGTTTCCTATATACTCTTGGTTTGATAATTATATTTCCTATTAACTGTAACTGAATGTCATTATATTTCTAGTAGTAACATATTCATATACAAAGATCATAAATAATACTCTCAAAACATCTATTAAAGATTTAAGACTAACACTTGAAATACAATCCAATAAAGACCTTTATCATTTATTAATTGCTATGTGAATGTAATGTATATTTTTTAATTTAATACTACTTTGTGGGTATGTGTGGTTGCTTGTTTTGAGACAGGGTTTCACTATACAGCCTTGGTAGGCCTTAACTCACAGAGACATGCTTGTCTTGACCTCCAGTTCTGGGATGAAATGCATGTGCTATACTTAATGGCGTTATTTTGTTAAATGAGTATAGCTTTTTAAAAAAGATCTATCTACTGAGTTCGAGGCCAGCCTGGTCTACAGAGTGAGTTCCAGGACAGCCAGAGCTATACAGAGAAATCCTGTCTCAAAAAACCAACCCCCCCCCAAAAAAAACTATCTATCTATCTATCTATCTATCTATCTATCTATCTATCTATCTATCTATCTATCTAATGTACACCGTCACTCTCTTAAAACATACCAGAAGAGGGCATCAGATCTTATTACAGATGGTTGTGAGCCACCACACATGGTTGGTGGGAATTGAACTCAGGACCTCTGGAAAAGTAGTCAGTGCTCTTAACCACTGAGACATCACTCCAGCACCCCCCGTCTTTTTTTTTTTTTTCTGAGACTCAGTCTCACTATGTAGCTCTGGCTGTTCTGAACTTACTATGTAGATCAGGCCGGCCTCAAACTCAGAGATCCACCTGTCTCTGCCTCCTGAGTGCTAGGATTAAAGGTGTGTATCACCATTGCACAACTGCTTAATAGTGCCATAATGAAAGTCTTATATGGTAAAATCTTAGTCTTCAAGTATATGAAAAAGCCTTTACTATGAATGATGTTTAGTCATTTCAACATTACCAGTCATTTTTACTTTACAGTATTACTCCACTATTTTCTACTTGTCTTCTGGTTCATTGAAATAGTTCTGTTAAACCTGTTTCTTTCTATATTTGCTGTTAATTTTTATGCATTGAAGTTGGAAGTATGTAAATAGCTGAATTTACTATGTTGTCTTGAGTGTAAGTCTGAATATGCCTTTAACTTCTGGGCTTTCTTCTACTTATCCATAGGGAACAATATTAACACTTCTGATTATCAAATATTCAAGTAGAAACAGTTTTCATCACAAAATTCTTTTTACTAATAGTTTCAAATTTTATTTTAAAATTCAAATAAATTTTTATTTAAAAAATTGAATAAAATTTATTTTTTAGATTTATTTATTTTAAATGTATGTGTTTTGCCTACATATATGTTTATGCATTACAAGGATATGTGGACCTACTAAGGCCAGAAGAAGGCATCAGGTCCCCTGGAACTGGAATCACAGATGGTTGTGCACTACCATATGGGTGCTGGGAAATGAACCCTGGTCCCCTGTCAGAGCAATACTTACTCTTATCTGCTGAGCCATGTCTCCAGCCCCAATCATACATTACCTAATTGGCTGTAGTTGATTGGATGTCATTCTACCAAGTTTTCTTTCTATCATGTCATAGCGGGTCAAAAGCACCAACAATTTTTCACATGCATAGTGACTGGGCCACTCCATTTTTTGAACAGTAAATCTCTATAAATTCAGTAAAAATAAATATTAAAACTAAATGTTACTTTTAAAATACTAAATACTCTTAAGACAATATTATTTTTGCTTTAAGAATAATGCGAAAGTAATATTAGTAAGACTATTTCCAGAAAAAACCAATGGGCTCCCTAAGGAGAAAATGTCAAATGACAACCTGGTTGAGAAGGTTCTCTATTCAGAATGCGAGTGTATGTCAGAGGGCGTGGGCTAAGCTCCTTGACCCCTCCTAGGCCAGTTTTCAATCTATAAATGGAGAGAATATAACCCTGTTGACAGATTATGTAGATTAAGTGGGAAGACATTTATTAAGTATAATGGCTGTCAGCAAGGTAACATGCAAGTAGATTCACTGAGCCATCTTTCTCTCTAATTACAACATCAGAGGTTAAAATAATCTCATTTAACACTCATGGTGATTTGATGAGGTGGTAATATTACTTCTATTTTAAGAACATTTCATATTCAATATATTTGATCTTGGCATCCCTTGACCTGAACCTTCTTTCCTAGACATATTCCTGGATTCAATTTGTCTGCACATGGTAACTGAGACATCTTTCTGAGAAGCAGTCTGGTCTGGAAAATATGGACCTTACAAAGCCAAGGGGTAAAGGTTAGAGATGAGTACTGAGTAATAGTGGGGCAGTCAACAGTTATCTGTTTTAGTTCTTGGGACAGGCAACACTTAACTGTTTTAGTTTTTAAGTCTCCTCTTACACATGGAAGCTAATATACTTCTGATCTTCCTCATATCTAATTCTGTATTATTAAGTAAGAATTTATATTCAGATACCTGAAACAATAATAAATCAGGTCTTTGGTACTTGATCGGTTTTAACATTTTATTCTTATTCAAAAGGAATTCTTGGATGACCTAAGTGAAAAAATAAAAAGACAAAAAAAAAAAAACGAAAAAAAAAAAAACAAAAAAAACAGGAATCAGAACTTAAAAGTAACTCTAATTCTCCTGAAGTAATTGTTGTCTGCAAAGGTTTTCTGCCTCCCTCTGCTAACCCAGGCCTAGTCTTGGAAGCTTGTAGTCTCTGTGCAATCTAATTGAGGTCTACACCTACAATGTTTTCAGCCTCTAAGACTTACTGCTGAATAAGCTCACCCCTTCTAGTTCTTTCTGAATTCTTGTTGGCTGGTTCAACTCAGTTGTTCTTGCTTTAACTCCTCCCTCTCCCTCTCCCTCTCCCTCTCCCTCTCCCTCTCCCCTCCCCCCCTCCCCCTCTTCCTCTCTCTGCCACTCCTGAATTGCTCTTCTTGGCTTCATACTAACTTTGGAAATATGTACTAATCTTCTGGTTTCTTCTCATTCTCTGGCTCTATCTGTCTTCATCGGTGTCTAGTTTGTTCTTGCTTTGCAACCTGTATCTCTGTAACTGTCCTGGTAAAACAGCCTCTGAATTCCATGAACTCAGCTCCACTGCCTGCCTCTCAACTCACTAACTCAACCAAACTCACTGAAGAGAACTGACTAACAGGCAGAGATCTGCATGCCTCTGTCTCTTGAGTGCTGAGATTAAAGTTGTGTACCGGAACACCTGGACCTAAGCTTCTCTTTATCTGAAACTTGCTCTATACCAGGCTGGCCTTGAACTCAGATCTGCTTGCCTCTGTCTTCTGGGATTAAGGGCCATGTCTGTATTCCAGCCAGATTACACAGACCCAGAAGGCCTTTGGTATTGTTTCTTGCCAGAATAGTCATGTTCTGAATTAAAAATTTCTCTACATAACAATTTTAAAAAATATATACAATTAGATTATTACCTCATAGAATGGAAATCCTTCGCAACTGCAAGCTTTCCTAGAGATAAATTATACATTTTACCAATACAATCAGATAATTAGATAGACTGAAATCTCACCCAATCTCCTTGTTTTATAACAAATATCCACCTACAGTGTCTTATACATAATTATTAGGCCTTCCTCTGAAAAACAAATTGCTATCTTCTCAGGTAAAGTTTTTTTACTTTTTTGTAATATTTTTACACTACAAAATTTTTTTTACATTACAAAATAATGTGTTTGTATGATTTTGTATGGGCATATGTACAAAGGACAGAGAATAGCTTGCTAGAGTAGGTTTTCTCCTTTACCATGTGTGTTCTGGTGACTGAACTCAGGCTTGGCAGCAAACACCTTCACTTGTTAATTCATTTCCCCAGCCTCTTAGATGGATTTTTTTCTTCTCTGGTTTTCTTGAGACAGAGTCTCACATGTAACTCTGGCTGGCCTGAAACTTGGTACGCAGACCAAGCTGGCCTCTCTGCCTCCCAAATGCTGGGGATTAAAGCTGTGTGTCACCATTAGTCCAGAAAGATGAGTTTTTTTTATTTTTTTAACAGAATGAAGAACACAGTATGTTCTAGACATATGGGTGAAGGTTACTGTAGAAGTAAATCAGTCCAAGGTATTCATACAGGTCATAACAAAAAATATTAAGTGGCTAAAATCAACTTACATTTTAATATTGTTTTCTATTTCATTTAGTTGCCTATTATGGTCTGCCTGGTGCCATTCACAAGGACAGAGGTATTCATAATCATGTGGTTCACAGTATCTATCACTTCTACATAATGTGCATCCATTACGTTCATGATCCTTAGGCGAACCTTTTTGGAGACACAAAGATGTGTGATTTTTATTGCTTTGCAGAATTGGCTTCAACAGGCCCCTTTTCTCTTCTGTTATCTAAAATTTCAAAATTAATATTGTCCAGTACAGTGTGGGTTTCAGTATGTTTAGGCTGAAAGAATAATGCATACCATAGTGGTTTCTTTTCTTCCTTCCTTCCTTCCTTCCTTCCTTCCTTCCTTCCTTCCTTCCTTTCTTTCTTTCCTTTTTTTTTTTGTTTTTTTTGAGACAGGGTTTCTCTGTATAGCCAGCCCGGGTTGTCCTGGAACTCACTCTGTAGACCAGGCTGGCCTCGAACTCAGAAATCCACCTGCCTCTGTCTCCCAAGTCCTGGGATTAAAGGCATGCACCACCACTGCCCAGCATAGTGGTTTCTAGCACAAGTTAATAACTTAGTATCATGACACTGCTCACAAAATACTCATTTATTTGAAGTATTAATTAATTTATATCCAATAATGGAAAACTTTCTGGGTTATGTAGTAGCTACAAGGTAGGAAAGAATGTAATTATTAGTAAAAAAGATTATTTCTTTAATATAATAATTCATGATAGGCTTCTTTACTGAGCTTATTAAAAGACTACCCACTTCGTCTCCTCTGCCAGTGTGTACTTGGTTACAAGAGAGCTGTTTAATGCTTGGAACAGGGAGAGTATCACTGCAGCACAGGTATGATGAGCGGGACCCTCCTTTTCTTTGAAAGGAAACAGTCAGTGATTTTTTTTTGCTGTTGTTTGGAGACAAGATCTCATGTAGTCCAGGCTGGCCTCAAACTCTCTATGTAATGAAAGGTAGCCTTCAACTCAATCCTATGGTCTGTACTTCCCAAGTACTGAATTACAGGTGTGTATAACACCCAGCTCATGTTCAATGTTATCTTTTGCAACTAAGACTGATGAAGATCCAACCTATTTTCAACAAGAATGAACTAATATTAGAAACTAGTTTTAAGTCATTATCTGTATAGTAAAATATACTATAAGACAATTAAGCATATAAACATAAAACATTGATATAAAAATAAGTGGTTTATCTCCATTTTCCTATAAGATTTATATTTTTCATAAAAATAGATTCATATATCAAAAACATAATTTTAAAATCTAAATAATTGGTAACATCGTATGATATTTTACTCATTCTATATGTATTATTGCTATATTATTTCACTTATCCAACATTAAATAAATGTTCACAATATCTGTGTAACTCAGCTTCTGATTCTCAGGTACTTCCAAGTAGTGTCTTAATAAAGGTATAAGAAAGTCCTGTTGAGAGCAGGACTGTGCAAATGGATTCAGACTCCAATATTCTAGAGTACTTCCTATGCCTACTTACCTGGATGGGAACACACAGAGCAATGAACCACTTTTTTTGCTGCTGGTCGTGGAACAGAGTAGCAAGGTTCTTCAATCCACTGATTAAATCTTTATTAGAAAATGGTTTAAAAAAAAGAAGAGAAAAATATTGAGTTAATTAAAATACATTCTCAAATGTCAGTTATCCTATTTTCTTTAACCTGTCAAATTACTTTTTCTTTAGTGATTATAAACCTACTTGCTTGGTCTGGGAAAATGCTTAGTTTTTCTACAAGCTTTACATGTGGTCCCAGGTAGTGAAGAACTGCAAAAGGAGACAGAGCGTATATACCTGTATGTCTGTACAGATTATATCTCATCAAGCTCATCCTGGTGGTGTTTTTTTTTTTTTTTCCTTTTTTTGATGACTTTGTCAGGCAATGATGTATGGGCAGGGGGAGAAAAATTTGCATATGTATATGTAGCTGGTTATAGTGGCACATGCCTTCTACCATGGATTCTAGCCATCAAATGAACTCAGGTGGTCAGGTTTGTGCTTCAAGTTCTCTTACCTCCTGAGCCATGTAGCTGGCCCAAATTAAAAGCTCTTTATCAATGTTACTTGTTAAGTATTTTCAGTATGCTATATAATATTTTATTTATGAAAATTAAATATAATATCAAAGCATCAAATACAAAAATTATTTTAATGTTATATTCATCTTTAATTGATACTAATGGTCTAAAATAGCCTATGAAAAAATGCACATGGTTATAAGGATACACTTGCTCTTGTACTGTGTGTGATGAAGCAATAAAAGACTTCAAGATAAGTAAAAATTAACTATTGAAAATGAGTAGTTCAAAAACAACCCTTTCTGCAGTAGTAGTCACTACTAACTCCAACAAGAACAGATGTCTGATATGGAATAAAAAGCACTGTTCATTTACCTCTGAAGCAAACTTTGACCTTTCAAAATCTGCAAAAGTTTTAATGCTTGTTCTTTTCCAACTCCAGGCACTCCCTTCCATAAAGTGGAAAAAAAAAACTTAAATGTTAATAACAGGAATAATGAGGACACATATAAAGAGATATAATAGTGATCAAGTGCATTTGTAAACAGCATATTTAAGAAAAGGTTATCCTGTAACTCCTATCAGTCTATGAACAAACTAACATGATGACGAGAGGCAGGGAGGTACGAATGGCATACTTCAGTAATGACACTGCTTAGCAGCAGTATCAATAGCACTATACATGTGTGCAACTAGACAACAACAATGACTATAGAGCTCAAAAACAGATAAAGCCGTAATAAAAACTATCACTGCTATAAAATACGAGCAATCCTTGAACTCCTTTGATAATTTAGTCAAGCATGCATGTCAATCTCTTTTGAGGTTGAAGCTGTGGGACTGCTTACTGAACTTTCCTTTGCAACATTTATTGTCATAAAGGAATAAACGTATACCTGTAAAAGTGGCTTTTAGTATTACCTGAGGTGCTGATTGAATTTATTTACTTATTATTTTGTGTGCCTGTGCATGATGTGTGTGAGCATATGTCCATGGCACTTGTGGACGGTCAGAGGACAATTTTGTGTACTTGGTGTTTTCCTTTCACCTTTATGTGTCTCCCAGGCATGGACTCAGGTTGTCAGGCTTGTGCAGAAGTGCTTTCAACCATGGACCATCTCATCAATCCAACTGAATTTTGTTAGTGAATGGCATATACTTTAAACTTAAATGAATTCATAATTATATGCCCATAATATGTTCATAACATATTATTATATGTTTATAAACACACACAGCATGTAAAATATTAAAGATATTGAGAAAGAAGTGATGAGCTCAGCTTGCCTTTGGAAGGTAATCACAACCAAGAAGCACTGCCAGTCCGACCAGAGCATCTCGATCCAAGCCTAGCTTACTCTTGATAGACGATACCGTGTAACAGTCAACATGTGGATCCTGTAGAAGCACAGAGTTTTATCTTCAAAGTGTTTTATATTAAACAGTAGAAAGAATGAGTTGTCATTTAGTCTTTTTGTTTTAAAACTTAAACATGAAAATGATACTCATCACATCAGTATTTATAGAATGGGACATTTCAATCAATGAATAAAGTGGAGCTGAAAGTTCTTCCTTATTGGAGTATTGTGGAGTAGAAAAGTCATCAACAATCTAATCCAGCTGTCAACCCCGTAAACTACAATGACCAGCATGTGGATTCCATACTGGCATGAATGTTATATGTTATAAGTGTAACCAACTGCTTTATGATTAGATTTAAGACTCACTCTACAAGAGGAAACACATGCCTGGTACTGTGTATCTTGGCTGAATACCCATGGTTAGGGAGCTCATAGGTCCCAGAGAACCTATTACTATTATTTTGCTAAATGGGCATAGTATTGAACTGCCTTATAAATTTGTATCTCTATATTTATGGATTATTATTGTTCTTGGACTTCACTAGAGAAGCAGTGGGCTTTATGTGCAGAGAATAAGTGTATGTACAGTGTTCAGACATATGTATTACCCTTCCTTTCCCCAAGGCTCAGAGACTATGGTGGAAGAGTGGGCAGAATGACTGTTAAGCTAGAGGTTGGGGAATATAGGGGTAAAGAGTGTCTTATGAACACGACAGAACCACTGCATCTGTGAACTCACAGCAGCTTGCTTGTCTGCCAAAGCTGAGGGCAGTCAACATCTCAGCACTAAGCAGCACTGAGCAGGAGTGGCACAGGAGCCCCCCTCTCTAGCTGAGGAACAATTGACAGCTGACGGTTTCTGTGAGAGGGAGAGTCAATTTTCTTTAAGGGTGTAAATTCTAGTAGGTTGCCCAGTGGATAGCACCATACTCAGTAGTATATGGGCATTACAATTTTTTTTTTTTTTAATTTGGTCAACTTAGCATAAGCTAGAGTCATCTGGAAAGAGGAAACCTCAATTAAGAAAATACTTCTGTAAGACTGCTATGTACGCAAGTCATTGGGGGCACTTTCTCCTTTCTCAATTAATGACTGATGTTAGTGGGGCGGGGGCAGCTGACTATGGACAGTGCCATTCATCCCTGAGCTATGTAAAAAAACAAGCTGAACAAGCTACAAGGAGCAAGTCAGACAACAGCATTCTTCCATGGCCTCTGCATCAGTTCTTGCCTCTAAATTCCTGTACTGACTTCCCTTAATGAAGACAAAGACATGGAAGTGTAAGTCAAATAAACTCTTTCCTCCCCATGTTGTTTTTGGTTGTAGTATTTATCACAGCAACGGAAAGAAAACTAGGACAGTGAGAACAAGGGTGGCAATTAGATCTGAGAGGAGTGGGTGCTAAATCAAAATACATTGAACTCATGTATAATAGTCTTGAAAATTATTAACAATATTATATTAAAATAAGATAAACATTCACAGTAGGCAGTTTCTTTTTCTCTTTATTGCTTTTGGTATCTAAAAAGTACAATATATGGTATATACTGTAGAAAAAACACTCAATATACTTATATTACCTAAAGTTAATTATTAGTAGCTTGTTATACATTCTTCCAAAAAACTGTATTTTCCTCTCATATTTGTTATTAGTATCTACTATTAACTCTATTTTTAATAAAGGTAGAATTATATAATACTGTTTTGTTACATTTCCCCCAGTAATATACCTCTGTATTATTTAATGCCAGTAGCACATCTTCCTCTTCCCCTTTTCAGACAAGGTCTCAACTAACCTTGCTATGTAGAGTAGGCTGCCCTGGAGCTCAGAGATCCTCCTGCCTTGTATCCACTGTGCTAGGATTAAAGGTATGTGTCACCTACTCTAAGACATAGCTGTGAAAATGATTGCTGAGTAGTGGTTCACACAGATTCTCTCTCAGTCTACTTCTCTCAGTTCCTACTAGCATTTGAGAGATGGCATGAAGCTTAGCCTTGCTGGTCCTAATATACCAAATGCCTAGGAGCAGGCTGCCATGCACACCCCACATCCCTGCCCTCCTCCGAATTCTGTAAGAAAATGCTAGTTGCCAGGAATCCCTAGCTAGAAATCATAACTGTGAAACATTTAACATTCCTGAATGAGCCTTTGGTTTGCTAATTTTTATAGTTATTAATACCATAACAAAGACTTTCCTGCCGTGTATCCCTCTTCTCATACATTTGGAGGTGTTCTGAGGATTAAATACTGAAACTGGAATTTCTGGGACAAAACAATGGATTTCCCGCATAATTCTGTGTTAGAGACTCAAATTTTGAAGAGAATAAACTATTTGGTGATCCTTTATTTTTTTAAACTTATATTTGCTTATTTATTTGTATGGGTATGTGTATGGTGTGTATGTGTATGGTATGTATGTGTATGGTGTGGTGCCTGAGTAGAATGGAAAGAACAACTTGTGGGAATCAGTTCTTTTCTTCCACCATGTGGATTCTGGGAATCAAACTCCAGTTAAGTGCCTTTCTCTACTGAGTCATCTTGCTGGCCCACAATGCCTTTTAAAATAGTTTTAAATTTACTTTTTAGTAGGTAATCAGCTTTACCATCTCTATCACTTCAAAACAGTTATTTATAGGGTTGGAGAGATGGCTTAGTGGTTACTCATACTATTCTTGAAGAGGATCCTTGCTTAGTTCCAAGTACCCACATCAGGCAGCTGACAAATTCCTATACCTCCAGTTTCAGGTGAGTTCAATGTCTGCATTCATTTTGTTTTTGAAGACAGGGTTTCTCTGTGTAGCCCTGGCTGTCCCAGAACTCTCTGTAGACCAAGCTGGCCTCGAACTCAGAAATCCGCCTGCCTCTGCCTCCCAAGTGCTGGGATTAAAGGCATGTGCCACCACTGCCCGGCTTCAATGCCTGTATTCATATGCACACACTTACCACCCCATACATACAAATAATTTTTAAAAATTAAATTTAAAAAATATATAAAATATACATTTATGGTGAAAAAAATTTAAAATGTTTTCTAGCTTACTGAAATGTACAGTGATATTTTAAATTAGTAAACATTTTGTTTAGCAATAACTATTTGCCAGGCATCATGGCATTTTACATATATTATCTTAGAATAAAGACATATCAAGAGACAAAGAAAAGTCATACCTTTGTGTTCATAGTGAAATTCCTGTAAACAGTCTGGGCTCCATAAAGGAAAGCATCGCTGTCGTTGGTGAGGCAGCCATCCACATGGCCACTGGCATTAAGATAAGCACACATGGCCTCAGCTTCCCCAGCAGCCTGGACCCAGGGCATTCCCAGGCACTCTAGCATTTCAAGGCACTGAAACAAGTAAGTGCAAGACATTCAGCTTTTCAGAGTTTTAATTTACTTTTACATTTAAAACAGTAGTAGTAGTTGGCTTCTGGGTATTTAAAAAAATGACATTAAAGGAACACTCAGAAATTTGGATACTGAATAATTTATTGGCATTAAGAAAGAACTGCTAAGCTTTTAGGTGAAATAATTAAAACCATAATTTGGTTGTACCTATTTAATTTAAAATACTATTTTTAAAATATTATCTTGCAGAAAGCAACACTAAAATACTAGGAATTCTATAGTATTATGGTTGGTATTGACAAAGTATGCTCTAAGAGGGAGTCAAAACATTGCACTTTTCAGGGAAGCTGATTAAGCTTAGAACAGGAAATAAACAACTCTAAGGATTCAGGAAGTCCCTGACCTTGATTAGAGTGACACTAGGGGCTCTCACTTCCCACAACTATATAAGTAGTATGGACTGCTGGAAAACAGATCAGCTGGGCTTCCTGGAATAAAAACAGAGTTGAACTGCCTCAAAGATACTCAGACCAACTGAACCACCTAAACTACAGCAAGTTATGCAGTGCACTCTGAGTTTCTAGCCTTTAAGAGCTATTGCCTATTTCGGATAGACTTGATGACAGTTGTCTTTGAATTGTCCCTGTTCCTCTAACTGACCTCTTACTCATATTCCTTTAAGTACCCTCCTCAACTCCACGGCGCCTAAACCTCAATGGTTCACCAAGTTGGATTTTGGTAGTGTCCTTTCTTTAGTTTGTCATCAGTTCTCTACCTGGCAGGCACTTCCCATGGATAGTGACATACAATAGTGGGAAAACTCTCACAAGGCTAAGTTGTTTCCTCCTAGGAAATCAAATACCCCTGCAAGGCGATTTTATCCTTTGTAATGCATAAATAATCCACTGTGAGATTCCATTGGGTTATGGCTTTGATCTTGCTGAGTTTAGCCATATGCCATTTACAATTTTCAATTCTTTCTGAATTGTAGAATGTTGTATATGGAGAAAAGAGGCTAGGCAAATGTATTTTCTATAGATTGTCAGAATAAACATCCATTGCTCAGAATGTTCTTTTTTTTTTTTTGTATAATATATAACAAAAAAGCTGCCAGATGTAGCCCAAGTCTGGCAACATTCTCAAGACTTAGGTGTATGACCTTGGGGAAACACTTTTGCTACTAGCATATCCTCACTTTACCCTAGTTAGAGATTATCTTTTCATACTAAGCAAAGTTGTTTCAGCTTTGTGTGCTATTTACATTTAAAACTCTAATGTTCTAAGGATGAGATTCACAGATATTTCCAGGAACTAATTTCACAGGAAATTGTTACAATGCTGTACAGTTGTTTACTTCAATCATTAAGTTTGACTACTCATTAACTAAAAATTATTTAAAACATGCAAGATCAGAAAACAGCAGCTCCAGAACCACTTTATACATTGTCTTCTAAAATACCTCACCATATTAAATAACCTGCCTCCACAATTTTTTAAAGACAGGATATCACTTTGTAGCTCTGGCTAGTCTTAAATTTACAGACATCCTCCGGCCTCCTGAGTGTTAGGATTAACCATGACTGGATTAAATATCTTTGCCTCTATTCAGTGCAAAGATAAATCAAACATCCAGAGTTCTTTTGTGAGTATTAAAACTGTTCTCCTACCAAAACTTGTAGGAAACTAACTGGCAAAAGCTATCATTATAAACCAGGTAGTGTGCAACATGCCTTTAATCCCAGTCCTTGGGAGACAGAGGGAGGCTGATCTCTGAGTTCAAGGCCAGCCTGGATCTCAGAGCATGTTCTAGGAAGGACAAGGCTATACAGAGAAACTCTTGTTTAAAAACGGCTGCATAAACAAAACTGGAAGACTGGCAACAGCAATAGACAGGCTAACTCAAAATGGGGAAAATCTCATGGAGTCTCACCCCTTGACAAAGAACTACAGGCAACTAATGACTGCTGATACAGGGAGAGTTAGCCTCTCCCAGAGATGAGTTCTCAAATTGCTCACCCTATACAAAGTAGTCAGTCCTAAAGCCATATACAAACAATAAAAATGAGCACAGCAGGTTGCATTTACATATTTTTGCTAGCTTTTACACGAGTGTGTACACACCCACCAATAAAGAAAAAGAGGATATCAGTTTGAGGAGGATGCATGGAAGGCGTTGGAAAGAGGGGACTTGGAGGGCTGAGGGAGGAAAGAGAGAGTGATATAATTGTATTTTAATTAAAATTAAAAAAAGGTAACGTGGTGAGGGAGGATCATGAATTTACAACCATTCTAAGCTATATAGCCAGTTCCAGGACAGCCTGGGCTTTATAGTAAGATCCTGTAACAAAGAAAACCTCCTAAATCTTGCTGAGTAACCTTCAAAATGTCAGAAGCTACTATGCATAATAGGTGGGGAAAAGGCACCTACAGTCTTTCTTAGACACGCATGCTACAATATCAACTTGCTAGGCAAGAGGTGTTTACTGGTGCAATAATGTAGTGACTGTTAAAGGGACAACCAATTGATCTCTGATGAATCTGAGGCCTTCCCATCAAAGCTCCTGTATTGTGGTCTGCGTAGAGGCCCATAACTGGAGAGATCATAAGCATAAAACCTACTACTGTTGCTTTGCTAAATGGGCATGTTATCAAATTGCTGCCTAAATATTTATGTTTATACCCATAAGCCAGCGATGCCCTTAACCTTGATCAAAGAAGCAAGCAACTTATGGCGATCATGCATTCTGAATCTGCTGGAGTTAAAAGGAAAGATAATCAAGTCACTACCATGGATTAGTTACTGTAGATATATCTCTCAAGCATTTATAAAATCACTGCAGAATATTATTATCCCCATTTTACTAAGAATTCAAATGTAAATGAGTTAAAAATCCTGCCCAGTATTTCTAAATGTCAGTGCTAGAATGTGGCCACAGGTCTGTTTTACTCTATCATAAATTCTCTGCACGCACTACTCCTGTAGTCACAATACGGTTAGCGAGTATAAGTTTATAAAATACACTTTAATTCAAATAAGAATTACTAGTTGAATCTGAATGCTCACCTCTCGTAAGACTGACTTAAAATGTGATCTCCCTGTTTTCTGAGACCTCGATTTTCCAGAAGGCCCGAAACGTGTCTGAGTCCTCTTACTCATGACATCAGCTTTCAGCTTTGGTGGATCCCCTTCCATTACAAACACCAGTTTTACATTCATTTGAGTTAAATATGAAATTCGAAAAAACAGGTTCCTGAAGCATACAAATTAGTAACATATTAATCCTCATATTGATAACAAGACCCAATAGCAGTATGTAAAATGGTTTAAGAATACTAGGTTAAAGCATTGTTCATCTGATAACATTTTAAAACATTTATTCCTCTGTGTGTGTGCGCGCGTGTGCGTGTGTTAGTGTGGGCACATGCATGCCTATGTTCTTATGGGCAGGTCAAAGAACAACTTGCAGGAAGTGGCTGTATTGTTCTACTATGTGGGTTCTGAGGATCACACTCAGGCTGTCAGGCTTGATAGCAAGTGCACTTAAGACTGAACTATCTCATTGGCTGATATTAAGATTTTAAGGAGAACGGGCAAGCATATGCCATTTAAGCAGGAACAATTTTTGACTATATACACTGCTATCTGAAAAGTATTTTGAAGGGAGAGGTTAAGAACAGGCAAAGGGGAGTGGAAATACAATTCCTCCAGCAGAGATTTAAAAAAGTTGAAACAAAGTCAAACACCAAGACTAGGCACATAATGATTCATCTCTATTCACAGAACCTTTACTATACCTGAGGTGGGGCTTCACGACAGTTCCAATCATTTTCTTCACTGTCTGTGCCTCACATACCCAGAGACTCAAATCAACAGCAAGGGTTTTTCCACTAAGATCCTGCAAGTGGATATGTTGCTTTATAGGCTCCAAAATTTGCCACAAGTCATTCACTCCCATCCTGATGGCTGATTATCCAGTATTATCTGAAGTACACTTAAGGAAGGAATCATGGAAGCAGGCAAACAGCTAAAGAAACAAACAAAACAAAACCAATCCCCAAATCCAAGGTTAGTTCATAGAAACTGATGGAAAAATAAGGAGGGAAGAAATGATGTAGAAAATACTGGAGAAAAATGGAGTTAACGTTCTTTCTCTGTTAGGTTTTTCCAGACAAGGTTTCTCTGTGTAGTGTTACTGTCCTGGAACTAGCTCTGTAGCTCAGGCTGGCCTCAGATTCACAGCGATCTACCTGCCTTTGCCTCCTAAATTGTGGGATTAAAAGTATACACCAGGACTGCCAGGTGGAGTTATATCTTCATAACAGGTATTGTTTTTAATTGTATGGCTATACAGTTCACAGTGGAAAAACTGAATTTAAAACAACGTATTTTAAAATTAATGCTGTTTTTTTTTCCTTGTACAATATAGGAAAGTTTAGGAATAAACCACCTTACACTCTGTTGTCTTCCCCAGGTAATTTTTTTTCGGTTAACTTTTCTTTATTCAACACCTACATCTACTTTTCTTTTCCTTTGTTGTTATTTGATAATGATATATAGTGTATGCAATGAAGATTAACTCTGACTACAAGAATACAATTCAGATTATTACTCTCTGAATAATGAATTTAATTCAGCCCCCAAACACAAAGTAGGTTGCAAAAATATGTTAAATTGAAAGGCCATTATTCATATGTAGAAACCTCCTGAAAAGTCTACATTATAAATCACATACAGATGCAATGAAAACCAGTGCTGGAAAGGCTGTCATATATGGTTTCCTCAGTTTTCTGAATCTTGATTTTATAAGGTGGCCAGTCCTGCCATGAGTGTTATTTTGTGCACTCATTTTTGTAAAGTGTGTAAACATACGTGGTCATGCTACTTTAGAAAGAAAAATACAGAATAAATACAAGGTACTAAGTAGTTAATTGGGGGCTCATGCTAATTTATTTTACATCAACATGTTCTGCTAGCTGTAACACTGTGGCAGATTGAGTTAATTTGAAAAGTTGTGATGAATTCTGGAAAGAGCAGGGGTATGTACATTTTCTAAGACATTATCATGAAGGTAAATAACATTTGTAAAGTACTAGCCATTAAAACACATTAACACCAGATAAAATGAGTGTGAAGTTCTTTGTATTTTTGCTTTTATTGTGACTCACACTGGATACCTAAAAAGACTCACTGTAAAAGGAGAGATAAAAAAGACTAAAGATGTCTAAAATAGTGATAAGGAATCATTTTATGAAAATTTAAAATTATATGTGTATCAATTAAAGTTATACCAATTGTAATGACAGTTCCCCACTCCCCAATAAACAGACTCACGAAAATCCTAGTGCCAGGCCCTGTCAGTCAGGAAAGAGCAAGAAATCTCAAAACAATATAGACTACTGCTGTTACCTTGGAGAACTTACACATGTTGCTCTTGGAAACTTACAGTGAATTTCTATTAGTGTTTCTTGAATTTCCTATAAGGCCATCAACCATTCACTAGATAAAATAAAACAAACTACAAAAAGAATGATTACAACTACAGTAAGGAATAAAACCATGAGTAATCATATTCTAAAAAAATATCATTGAGCTGGAGAGATGGCTTAGTGGTTAAGAGCACTGACTGCTCTTCCAGAGGTCCTGAGTTCAATTCCCAGGAAACACATTGTGGCTCACAACCATCTGTAATGGGATCCAATGCCCTCTTCTGGTGTGTCTGAAGATAGTGACAGTGTACTCAAAAAGAATCATATAAAATCCTGTTTTCATGCATTTATGGTGGTTATTTTATAAAGAAGATATAAAGATTAAGTTACCACATAATTATGTATTTTTACGTTTAATGCATATATATATATATATATATATATATATATATATATTTATTTATTTTTTTGAGAGAGGGTCTAACTATGTAGCTCTGGCTATCCTGAACTATATAGTGAGGTCTCAAGGCTGGCCTCCAGATCTGCCTGCTTCTGCCCTTTGAGTACTGGGATTAAAGACATGTTTGGCTATTTTTTTTAAAAAAAAAAAAAAAAACTACTTTAGGATTTTCTCCACCATTTCTATAATCTATGTCAATGGTGTGAAATATATACTGTATTTAAAAGTACATACAATTTGTTTTAAAAATACAGCTTCAGCCACCACGCACTGTGTGCTCACATGCTCTGTCTGTCTCTGTCTCTCTCCGTGTGTGTGTATGTATATGTGTGTGTGTGTGTGTGTGTGTGTGTGTGTGTGTATCTGTTCCTACGCTCTTAGTCCTGGTCATTTCTCTGAATTGATGTTATATGACAAATAGTTAAAGACTCTAAAAGCTTGTGAAACTCTAAAGAAACCAAATGGAACAGTGCTTAGAATGTATAGCTGCACAAAAAGACAGTACAGAGGGTTCTTGATTAGGTCATAATCTATACTTGAAGGCAGATTAGCATTATGTAAACCTTAAAAGTACTACCATTATTAGATCCTCCGAGACTATGTAAATTTGTGTCTATACTCAAACCTCTTATATATTCAAATCTCTTATATCAACTACTGCTGTCATTCTCAGGATGTAATCAAAATAATAACTAACAAAATGTGTCTCCTACCATATTTCTAATTTTTAAGAATTAGTTATGAAACAACAAAGGAGTCAACAAAATCATAATTATACAGCAAATAGTTTTATAACTTACTAATAGCTTCAGCATAGGAAATGAGTACTGAATTTAGAGTACATAAGCCTAAGATTTAGGTTTTGGATATACTACTGATCAATTGTATAGCCTCAGAGAGAAAACAAGCCTAGAAAGGTGACATACTAAACCAGATAATTAACAAGATTCTAATATCCTTTGAATCTCAGGATCAACTTTGGTAGCAGGAATATCCAGATTGTTGCTTGAGAGAAGGTAAGCTGCTACACTAACAAAGGGCTTAAGAATCTGCCTCTGCTTAAAACAAAAGCAGGTCCTTTGATGTAACCATATGGTGCCCATAAATCCATTTATGCTCCTAAAGCTTCCTTAAAAGCTATTAAGTTTCTATTGGTTAATTATAAAACTGAATGAGGTGAGAAAAACACAGACCCTTGCTAATTCCGCTAATGCATCAAATGTAAAGAACATAAAAGAAGTCAATAGCTTGATTTATGCAAAATCACATTTTATTAAGGCAAATTTTCTACTTTGTCAAAGCTTAAAGAAAGGTCAGGAAATAGTTAAATTTCCAAATTCACATTTAGTTACCTATATTTTCATATAAAATTGACAAACAGTACAAATACGTCATCATGCAGTATTGTATCCATAGGGAATTTACCACATAATTTCATCAAGTCGTGCTGTTTTAAGTTTTTTCCAGCTATACAGTCACATGAATTTAATTTAAACTCTGAGGCCCATGTTTTATTTGCCTACCAGTATTTCTTAGGGATGTGTCTAAGTGCTGGAGGTGTGGTGATCATCAGGATCTGGATTAAAATATCTTGGAAAGGTGAAGCAGTAGACGGAAACATTAGCACTTTAATAGGATGATAACAGTACCAGAAGTAAAGAATCAAAGCACAGGAGTATATAGAAAAGCATCCACTAAAGCTTCCCGGAGGAAGTGACATCTAGGGAAGAACTTCCCACTTGTGTTTGTCAGGAGGATGGTTCCATGTCACACTTTTCACTAATCCACAATAAAGAACGCAATATATAATTACTTTTTTGAAGGTAATGGTGGCTTTGAACAAATGAATTTACCTCCTTCCTGGAGACCTCAGGTTGTATACCAAGGTTGGGGTGAGTGACCCAAGAACGAGGTTAATTAACAGTGAATGCCATTTCCCACGACATCGGAGGTAAGACTGAAACATGGCAGCGAGGTTACTTGCCTAGGTATGAATACTGATGTGAAGTTGTGTAAAGACGGAATGGATGATTAACGTCGGATTGAGAAGCGAATGGAGAAGGGCCCAAAACAACATCTTACTGGATATGTATTTAAAGCGATGTCCACCCTAGGGTGGAGCTGGTAGGGGAGAAAGGACTACATACACAACCGCAAAGACACCCATAAGTGGTAACTGGTGTTAAGAAATCTATTTTTCCAATTGTAACCATAATGCAGAGCGGTGTGTGAGTGGGCATCGGGGAAGGTCGCCCAGATGGGCTTGAAGGAGGAGTGGGCATCCTCGGGGAAGGGCCGTGGGGACCTTGTAGGGCGGCTGTGGATGAGCTCGTCCTCCCGTTAGTGTTCTAGAAGCCAGTAGAAGGACCGGGAGGCTGGCCTCAGCCTGTCCCGCGGGACTTACCCAGACACCCCCTCTTCGTGGCTGTGGAAGGAATACTTCTGTCATTTACCAGTCTGGCCTGGAGTTTAATAACTGTCGCCGCCCTAAGTTCCCGAATTCCCTCAAATCAAAGTTAAAACAAGCAAACAAACCTGAGGGGCGGGGGAAGCCTCTCGCTCCTGTCCCAAGCACTAAGCCCCAAGCTGCAATTTCGAATCCAGCGCCTTCGCCATTAGTCCCGCCCCTTCCGGGAAACGGCTTGCTTTCCTTCCAGACCCGCCTCGCCCTGCCCTCGCCGTTTCGCTTTCCCTTCTTGCAGTCGGCCCTGCGGACGCATGCGTAGACCTGTTGCCAAGGCGCCCGGAGATCTTCCCACACTCCTCCCCCGCCGTCTGGATCCGCCGCAGAGGGGCGCGTGCCTCCTCGCTTCCCCACTCTCCCGCCCGCTGAGCGCACTTCCGTTTCCCTCTGGCCGACAAGAGCGGCGCGAAAGCCCGGGAGCGCGCAGGCGCGGGCGGAGTCCGGGGGCGGGGAGGGGCGGGGCGCAGGCGCGGACCGTCCCGCGGCGGGCGCCTGTCTGCGGGGCTCCCGCCTGCATTCGGGCGGGTGTGCCCTGCTTGGCGGGCGTGCGGTGGCTGAGGTCCGACGCCCTCAGGGTGGCCTTCGTGTCGTGACAGCCGCGCGGACTAGCTTCCCCGGGGTGACCGTGGCTTGTTGGAGGTAGAGTGAGGGCGCGCGCTTCCTCTCTCCATGCCCAGAAGCCCCCCGGCAAGCAGCCTTCGGCCCTCCTGGAAGCTGCGGGCTGCGGATGGTCAGGGTCGGGCCTGGGCGCGGGCCGCGGGGACCTTCGCGCCCTCGGAGGAGACGCCGGTCTCCGCCGCGGGAAACTTGGCCATGGGCGCCGGCCCGCCCTCGCGCGTCCCTAGGCGGCCCGGGCGTTGGCGGGCAGCCGCAGAGGTCGGGCCGGGGCTGAGGCCGGCGTTGGAGCTGGGTATTTCACGCGCAGGCACCGTGTATGGGGGTGGGGGGCTGGAAATGCCGCTGAAATCTGAATTTGCCGTTAAATCCAGTTTCCCTGAAACGCCACTCGGATGAACCAGGCTAGAGTAAATCTTGTTTGAAAGGTTTGGGTGGCATTTCTTGCCCTTCATTACGGTGGAATTGGAGGGGGAAAATCGGGATTGGCAACTCTAGAAAACAGGACCTGAGGGCAGAGCAAGGCGCTTAAGGGAATAGGGCTTGAATAAGGCTACTGATTCCTAGAAAGAGCAGCTATTTGGCATTTAAAGCCCGAAAACAAGTTATGTGAGCCCTTAATGCAGTTGATAGTTAATGATTAGAGGGAAGACTAAATTTGCATTTTTAAAGACAAGCTGTTAATGAGATTTCTGCTCAAAGTTAGAAAAGTCCATATTCCCTGACTCTTTGGAAGGCGGATGGAGTCTTTTTAAATGTACAATAGCATATGCAGTGGCCAGCAGCTAGTTTTAAGGGAGTTGTGGGTGATGGGGGAACCTATTAGACGTTCTCCTTAGGCTCATCCCGTTAGTCTGTGAAACTAAATTTTTTTAATGTTTAAAATCCGTGTAAATTCTTTTCCTGGGAGCTGGGGAATGTAATGCTCTTGGTAGAGTGCTTGACTAGCGAGCGAAGAGCCCTGAGGTCAGTCCCCAGAACCACACAAAATCCAGTGAGGTGGGCAGGCCTGTAATCCTAACATTCAGGAGGTGGAGGCTGGAGCATCAAAAAAAAAGGTTCTCTGCTATGTAGCAAGTTCGAAGGCACCTTGGGTTACATGAGGCCCTGTCTCAAAGAAAAATTGCTTTTTCTGCCCTTGGGGATGGTGGCTCAGGCCTGTAATCTCAGCTCTTGATTAGTGGCTGAAGTGAGATAGAGGACAGCTTGAGTTCCAGGCTAGCTCAGGCTACTGAGTGAAACTGTCCAAAAAACCAAAAATTGTCTGCATGGGTGTAGAAAGTTGAGAGACAAAGCTTACCCCTTGTAATTCCTTAAAAACATGATTTTGTTCCCCACAGAGGTAGATAGTGTGTGCAGAGTAACGACACCTCTTTACCTCTTGGTTCTGAGTCACAGGACTCCTGAGAGATCAGTATTGAGCTCAACAAGCTAGTGTAAACAGCATGTTGAGTGTTAGTGTAAAACACGGCTTTCCCCCACGAGGTTAATTTTTCTAAGTGCCAAGAGTAGAATTTTATGTAAAACTTGCCTGAATCTTGACCATTTTGTTAGATAAATCAATCAAAATGGAGTAGACAATCTAGGAGTATTATTCAGTGGTAGATTGCTACTTTAATATGTAGGGACTCTGAATCTAATCTTCATTGACCTTTAAAAGGTAGTTGACTTACTTTCAAGAAATAATAATTAAAAAAATTTACTGTAGTAGTACATGCTTTATATTTGAAGTACTTTACATTTTTATTATTTATGAGTGGGTGGTTTGCCTGCAGGTATGTCTGCACCACATGCACGCCTGATGCCCATGGAGCTGTTAGATAATCTAGGACTGAAGTTACAGACTGTTATAAGCTTCCATGTGGGTGCTGAGATTCAAACCTGAGCTATTGAGAACAGTCAGTGTTTGTAACCTACCTCTGAGCCATCTTTCCAGCCAGTTTGACATACTTAAATGTCACAGTTGTTTTATATACATACAGTAGTAAGTCCAGTAACTGAGGGTCCAGTACAGTCAGTTATACTATATTTTTATGTGTGAGTGTGTGTGTCTTTAAATTTACAAGTTAAAGAAGTTACATCTTTTTCCACCCTGCATGCTTCTCTTAGTCACCAACTTCAAACAACTTTCAGTAATTTTCTTTCCTCCACTTCTAGATTGATTCCTATTGCAGTGTGTACTTTATTGTCTCAGGGTCTATCCTTGGAACACTTCATTCAAACTCTCAAGTGTTTGCAAACAAAATATTTATTATTCTTTTCTCTTGATAGATGTACCATCTGTTTATAATGGTAGGTACCATTAGGTGAGAAAATGAAAAGTTTTGAAGCAAACCTAAAGGAGCATTTAGAGGAACCCTTTATGGTAGAAATCTTTTTTTTTAGTTTTTGGAGAGGCACTCAAGAAGATACTAGATTGTCAGTCACTGGATGTGAATAAATTGTGGTTAAACTGTTTATGCCAGGAGGAACCTGGACATGAGCAGTTTGACAAACTTGGATTTGAATGTGTTCTGCCAGCATGTATCTGCATCTAGTTACTAAGTTGGTGCTTTGTAAGTTGATGTCTTATATTTGAGCCTCAGTTTCTCATGTTGTAAAATAAGGGCATGACATATATCTTAATTTATTCTAGAGGTAAGCATGCTTACTCAACAATGTGAATTCTATTCACTTGGACTTTTACCTAGTCTTCTTTACTGTTGACTTCACCTCCACCTTCATTCCTGATACTGTTGTAGTTTTTGTTGAAGATTTCTTAGAAACTGTCTACTTTGGCGTCCTTCTTAGTGTGTCCCCTCAGTAGCAGAAGTTATATTTGTTTAAAAATAGTTCTAATAATTATAGAATTAAATAAGTCTAATTCTGTTATGCTGGACACTGTTAATCTACTTTGGCATTAATCAGAAGTATGAGTTGTAATTAAAGTGCAAGAGCCAAAATTTTATAATCCTGCTAAAACTTGTAGGATTTCATTAACGTTTCATGTTATCTAAATGTGGAACCCTCAGTTACTGATTTCTCTTCTTAACTAACTTTCTTTCTTTCGAATGTTCTTCACTGTTCCTGCTATGCGGTTTTGCTTCATATAAGAGAAGAAAGTATACTATTCCTTTATTTAGTGTTTGCTATAATCCCAGTACTTAAGATCCAGGGCAGCCTGGTTTATATAGCTAGGCCTGTGTTAAACTCACAAACAAACCAAAACAATTTTTTAAAAATTGTAGATAAGTAAATAAAGTAAACTATATAGCTCTATCAGTATACTCAAGACCTCAGAGAAACCTTTCCCTTTTTGTATATGTTGTGTGTTTTATCTTGTAAGTAATAACAGTTTTACTTTTTTTTTTTTAACCTATATCTCACTCTCAGGACATTTGTTTCCTGAAAGTCTATCATCTTTATTTTATTTTATTTTTTTGTTGTTTTTTTTGTTTTGTTTTTCAAGACAGGGTTTCTCTGTGTAGCTCTGGCTGTCCTGGAACTCACTCTATAGACCAGGCTGGCCACGAACTCAAAAATCCGCCTGTCTCTGCCTCCGAGTGCTGGGATTAAAGGCGTGCACCACCACAGCCCGCTAAAAGGTAGGAGGATCCTTCATTGTCTCTCAGATGCAAGTTACCTTGGAAACCTAGAAGACTGCAAATCCCAGGTTATCCCCAGCAAATAAAAAACAGCCTCATTATGAAGCATTTGAGTGTAGTATCTTTTGTGTAGTGTGGCCTGTCATGTGCATTGTATACTCCTCACACTCAGTCTAGTCGTGTCCCTCCCTCATCCCAGTTTTACTTGCCAAACTGCTTTCTAATGATGAAGCAGTAAAGTCAGTCAGGCTTTTTCTGAGTGCTTTCTGTCAGATCATTGTGTTAGTCATTAATAAAAATAATGCCTGAAAGGCATTTAATGTTGGGTAACCGAAGAGGAATTGTTTCTTTTTGTTTCATAATTTATAATGGAATAGAGAGTGAACATGTTGCTGAGAAATAATGACCTGGTGGTATTTGGGGAATTTAAATTAACCACAAGTTAAAACTAACATACATAGATTCTTGCTATTCATTATCTTGGGGGGGGGTGTAAAAGATGTTTGATTTTGAATATTTGGTTTCTATAAGAGATTTAAGTTAAATATTACTTGCAAAGAAATACATTAAGAAATAATTATGATTAATGGTAATATTCCCTAGAAAAGCACTGGTTTAGGTTACATGTCCCTCAGATGCCAATATCTTTTTCTTCCCTCCCTCCCTCCCTCCTTCCCTCCCTCCCTCCCTCTCTCCCTTCCTTCCTTCCTTCCTTTTTTCCTTCCTTTTTTAGACAGTGTTTCCCTGTATAGACGTGGTTGTCCTACAACTCACTGTGTATACCAGGCTGGCCTCAAACTTGGTTCCACCTGTTCCTACTTCCCAACCGCTGGATTAAAGGTGTGAGCCACTGTGCTCAGCTACTAATATATCTTTTATAAAGATACTTGATTTCAGAACGGTACAGAGTTCTTTAAGTCCTTTAAGAAGTGTGATTTACTGATTCTAAAATGTGAATCCTTTGAAATCTTACTGAGACTATTACT